GTGTTCCCAATTCTAGCCCTTGTACTACTTGGGATTGGTATCTTTTTCACGGCTTGGTTCTTCGTCTATGAAGTGACCAGCACGAAGTTCACGAGAGATATATATAAAGAATTATTAGTCTCCCTCGTTGCAGCAATATTTTCTGGATTTGGAGTGCTATTTTTGATGCTCTGGGTGGGAATTTATGTTTAGGTAAGTTTGACATTGAAGTCTGATTCTAAATAAAATCAGGACAATTTGAATACTTATCTCAAAAAATTTATTTCCAGCTTCATCTGAACCGCAAAGTGATTACCTCTGGACTTTATATCTTCCTTTGATGTATTGTCACATTCCACGAATACCGTAAACATTACGAATTCATTAATTCATCAATTCGATTAATAAAAAGGTTTATTTTATATTCTGCAATGATTGTAATTAATGCTACTGGAGGTTTTATCATCAATTTCTTTATTATTCAACTAATACATAAAATGAAACAATCATATTTATTACAGTAGACGATTTTGCTTATCTAAATACATTGTTCTTCATTATTAGTAAAATAGTGTACACGATAAAATATGAGTTTGCAGCAAGTATTTATCTTCAACAGTAGGATAATCATTCATTTTTTATATTATTCATGTATAATCAACCGGCAAGACCCGCTTTTTGCCTGCAGCGTAGCATCAGTGCTCGTAGCATAAATTGTCGACGAGATAATTGACGAACTTGTTTGAGAAATACGTCAAGATCTATGGAGCCCTGTCGAAGACCTTCTCCGAGGTAATAAATTGCATCTTCTGTGGCTGCCTCTTCAGCGAAAGCATTTAACATTCTGAAAATAGAAAAAAAATTATCATTGACCTTGCAGGATATTTCAATTATGGGTTTCATAAATTATGACTTTCTTTAACTCTTGTGAAGATGACTTATAGTTACTTGCAAAATTAAAAATGTTAAATTTTTGATTTGATAACGTACTGTTTATATAAAGGTGCAATAGTAGTTACAGCTTCATCAACATCAATGGATTGATTCTCTGAAAGTTTTGCAATTTCCCTTTCAAGCTCAGTCTCCTTGTCCTGGAGGATATTAACATTTTTGTCCAATTCCTGCTTCTCTTTCTGTAATTTATTGAACAAATCCGTGAGTTTCGATGAGCCATTTGTAAGTTCTTGTTGGGTACGACGAAGAGTCTCCAGTTCTGCCTGCAATTGTGAGTGTTGTTCGATTAATCTTCTACGCAGTTTGTCACCAACTGCTGATATCAATGAAGCTCGTATATGCTCTTCTGTGATTGTATCGGAATTCCCACTATTCATAGCTGGCATTGGTGGTGACTGCAAGATAAATTATGAAAAATTATGATCTCAGAATTGAGAATTGATTGAATGAGAAAATTCAAGACTTGCCGGCTGCTTGGCTGGGGGATATGCTGCAGGTGAGTAAGGACTAGGTGGATATCCACTGGTCGAGTACGAGGGGAAGCTGGGGTAGCCTCCAAAACCAGAAGCACTAGTTGAAGGATAAGGTGGCGGCATCCCACCTCCATACGGAGGATTTTGTACAAAATGCGGATAAGGATTCATAGATGTTGCGTTCATTTCCCCTCCAGGTAGTGGGATGAATGCTGCAGGATAATTCAGACATGTCAACATCATATGTAACTGTATGCTAGTGATCCCCTGCTACTCTTCATGACCCCATAATTATTTCTTTTCACCAATTTGCCAAAAATCGATAAGCTTTCAACATAAATTTATAGTAAATTTCTCTATAAACATAAATAAACTGATGAAACATAAATATAAACGATATTAACAGTATCTAGATGGATATTGTTAATGAAGATACAAGCGAAAGGGTAAGTAGCTTATGACGAAGATGAGAGTAATGAGTCATTACACTCATCA